CATTTTGAAAAGTGAATTGGAATCCAACTTTATTTTGGATTACTGACATCTTGAATTCCCCTCGAGCAGTAATGTAATACTATATTCTAAGGTATAGAACAACAAGCAAACTTAAGTAAAAAAGAATTTTTAGAATCTTATAAAACATGATTTAATAGCGGTGCGGGTCGGTGCGGTTGGAAGAAAAATTGAAACCGGTGGATTAATAAAAGTGTCACTAGAATTTGTTATTTTTCTTACCAAAAATCAGCGGTTCGATTGGCAAATAATAACGAATTTGCCTTGGCGGTGCGGTTCGGTGCGGTTTCGGCGGTATTATGCACACCCCTATATGTGATTAACATGATTCTGAAAAAAAAGCCGGTACATAGTGTACCAGTAGATACATATCGGAAAATCAAAGTCCCGTTATGAATATCCACCGATATTGCATTGTGATTGAAAATCCCTGGTAAACCAACCGGTTCCATTACCCGTAACTGTTTTTCAAGATGTTACATAAGTCGTGATACGTCCATACTCATCGCAACGGGAAAAAAAATGCTGAAAAATGGTTAAGAAATTTCATGGCTGTGAAACTTGATTCCCGATATGTACAGGTCAATACTACCGATACCGATATCTCACGATTGATACCGTTATTTTATCCGATACCGCAATTTAAAAGCATGGTGGTTAGCCTATTCAATGTCACATGGTGATATCCATAGATAGTGTTGAAAAGCTTGTAACACCACAACAACCATTTTGACTAACTGTAAATTTAAGCATAAAATAATGACCCCTTTGGTTCTCAAACAAATGGTTCTCAATAAACCCATTGGTTTAAAACTTCTCTTCTCCTAAACCATTCTCTACTTCCTTTTCATTTCCTCCAAACAGACCTCTCAATTTCTACTCAAGCTCTCATTTCTTTATCTTCTTCTGTTTGGTTGTGTTTCTTTCTTTATCAGAATTTTGTTTCTGTTGTGTCATTTTCTCTAAAAATCTCTCCATGGATTTGTTTAAATTAACATCAAGCTCTACCAAAAACATCTCACAATCCTTCGTTAACAAAAATCACCTCCGCAGCGTGAACTATTCTGAAGGAATCTATCTACGCAAAATCACAGAATCAGATATAAGCCCGAATCCCATCATCATCACGCCACACGAAAACCTTTACTTGGGAAGAAAGAAAGCAGAAGAAGAAGGCGAAATCGATGTTTTTGGAGCGGAAAAGTACTTCAACCATGTGGATGATGAAAATCTTAAAGTTGGAGCAATCAAGTACAAGTATGCTAAGGACGAACAATCGGTTGAAATAGGCCTTGTGAAGCCCAAAATTCAACCAGGAACTCCAAGTATTTATTCGGAATCAAGTTCGAATATCCAAAATGTATTATTGCAAAATGTTGTGAGAAATTCGCCCCGGAGAAACGCTAAGAAGATACATGGCAAGAAGGGTCTTCTTGCCTGTCTCGCGTGCAATTGTTCTTGCAACGACAGGGACTCTGTTGAAACTGATGAACAATTTAGTGAAAGTAAGTCAAAGACAAGAGATGGAACGGTTTCAAAAGAACATATCGAGAATGGCCACCACACGGTTGATTTAGCCCAAATCAATGCATCCCGGTTGCATTGCATGAAGATTGATGAGGTGGGAAATGGTTTCACTTTCCCAATCTTGAATTCGAAGGCCGAAAATCTAGCAATTAAAGCGCGTTTACAAGAACACGACGACGATGATGACAAACAGAGAGAGTTTTTTGAGGTGTTTGGATCCCCGGTATTGGAGAAGAAAATCCAGGCAGGGTCTGATGGAATAATAATACACACCGATGCTGAAAGCGATGCAAGTTCTGATTTATTCGAGATTGAGAGCTTAAAAAACAATCCTAATTACCCATATTTACTAAGACAGGCCTCGGATGGGATGTCCAGTTGTGTCACGCCGACGAATTGTTATGCGCCAAGTGAGGCAAGCATAGAGTGGAGCGTTGGCACGGCCAGCGCTGTTGATTTTTCAGCAATGTCTGACACCGCGGACCTAATAACGTCCTCGGAAGTCGTGACAAAAGCCCAAAAAATGGGTCTGAATGAGAAAACTGGGGTTAGTAAAGAAGCAGACAGGCAGCGTTCTGGCATACTGTCGAGTTGTAAGAGCCATAAAGCTGTCAGAGTCGCAGGAGATGCTTACCGGACAAATGGAAAGGCGAACCCTGACCCGCGAACGCACGGTCGCGAGTTGGGCTCGTTTGGACCGGTGACACAGTTACAACCGGAAAATTAGCTGACAAGCATTGATTTTGATGCACACTCGCTCTCCTGCTCACACTCTGCGCGTGCTTCCGCGCTTTTTGCGCATTGGGTAATATAGAATTCGATTACTAAGTATGATCGATAGATATATTATCGGTAGGGTTGATGGGTTTTTAGAAAATAAATCTGTTTTGCTACTTACTATCACCAATGTCTTCATTGTTGATTATGAGTGAAGTTTTAACCTAAGAAATTGATGGTTTGGATGTGCCTATTTTTTTGGTTTAATACACAACGGGATTGTTTTCAGTTTCGCCGAACAACGTACACGGCAAAGTTGCTTTTTGAATTCTGTATTCTCCTGTGGATGTCTCATGGTTTAGAAAGCACCACTTTTCTTGGATTGTCAAAAGTTGAGCTGTTGATTCTGATGTGTTTATTTTTTGAGTCATTATGTGTAAATCATCTATATAATAAAAAAAATTAATTTGATAATCATAATTATATAATTTAATCATATTTTTTCTTAAAAATAAAAAAAACATGTACGATTTTGAAAATAGACCATCTATGCATATATATATTGAAACAAATAAGATAAAATTATGTGACTATAAAATTTGAATCAATTCTATTATTTTTTTTTTATATGAACGATCCACCAAATAATCCAAAACATAAATAAATTATCAAAATATGACATGGAGAGCCCACAACGATACAATCTAGTCCAAATGGTGAACTCCCCCCTCTCGTCCCTCAAACTTAAACTTCTATCCCACTCTCGTCACTCAAAATTAATTTTAAAATAATTCTTAATAATTAATAAAATTAAATTGTATCAAATTTAAATTGTAGTGATACTACCAGAGAAATGAGACAAAGAGAAGATATTGAAACTTTTTTTGATATTTTTCCAGGACCACAAGCAAGAGATTGAAGAGATTCAAACATTAATGCAATCTTTTGGAATGTCTGCAAAATGAAATGTGTACACTTAACCACCATAAGATAAAATCAAAAAAGGATTGAAACATTCCTTCCATTCTTCTTTCTATAGAATTAAAATTTTGGTACAAACATTGATTTTTCTACCAAAAATATTTAACATCTTCTCACATGGTTTAGAGTTGCACATGAAAGATTTTTTTGTTAAAAAATCAAGTTGTCCATTTTTGTTGGAGGGAAATTACCAAAAAAAAAAATGTTGGAGGGAAATTAAAAAAAAAAAAAAAAGACCTTATAACAAAATAAAATCTGAATTTTTAATTAGATACTCGGGTGAAAATTTTAAGGGCTCTTTTTTGATAAATCCTATAGAGTTGCACATGAAAGATTTTTTTGTTAAAAAATCAAGTTGTCCATTTTTGTTGGAGGGAAATTACCAAAAAAAAAAAAAGACCTTATAACAAAATAAAATCTGAATTTTTAATTAGATACTCGGGTGAAAATTTTAATTATGTGTTTTCTATGCTCAAAAGTCCCCTCGTTATTTGAGCATGTCCACAATGACAAGCCTTTCTAAAATGACAAAAAGGAAAATGCTTGGGAGCACCAAAAGGAGATCACTAAAGGGAGCACTAATGATGTGGCAGTGGGCCCCGTCCACTTTCTATGCCTTGTTTTTATTTTTTTATTATTTTTCTTTGTCATTTCCAATGTATTAGTGCTATTAGTGATGTATTTTTTGAGCAAGGATCCTCTAGAGTGATTTTTCCCTAAAGTTTCCTAAAGTGCTACATTGTGTGGTTAAGATTTACTGGCAAGTCACATCAATTTTTCTGATGTGACTTGCCAGTAAATCTCAACCATACAATGTAGTACTCTAGGAAACTTTAGGGAAATTTCACTCTAGAGGATCCTTGGTGGTATTTTTTAGTGGTCTAAATCATTGTTGATGACAAAAATACACTCTCTCTCCTACGACGACGCTGTCTCTTTCTCTCTAACTCTCACCCACCGCCGTCGCCACCTCCACTGCCAACCACCACCACAGCTACTCTGTCGACTCTAGACTCTTTTCACGGTGTCCGTCACAGCTCCGCCATGGCCAGATCTATACTGTTTGAGAAATGATTCGAACAGACCAGATCTGGTAACATGCCTCGTTCTTTCTCTCTCTCTGCTACATCCATGGCGCCGCACTTAGGGTTCTTCGTCGCCGATATCAGGTTCGGAAGATGGAATGCCACATCAGATCCACACAGATCTCAAAGCTGTGTGGTCTCCTTCGATCTCGGATATCAGATTTGTTATATATGTATATATTTATAGATATGCGTGTGTGTGTGTGTATGTAGCTTAGATTCATTTTTATATCAGATCTGTTACCGTTAAAAGTTATATATTTATATATTGCTTTGAGCTGTAGCTCAGATTAATTTTTTTTTTTTTTTTAGTTGTTGATTGTTGTAGTTGATCTGGTGTTGGTGTTGGTGATGATGATCATGACTATGATGATGATCAAACAGATAAATTTTTGTCGATGATGATCAAACAAATGAATTCTGTTTTTGTTTTTGTTTGTGTTGAACAGATGAAGGATGAGAGAGAGCGAGATAAAGAGAGAAGAAAGATAGTTTTTTGTTTTTGTTTTTGTTTTTGTTTTTGTGTTGAACAGATAAAGAGAGATACCAAATTATAAAATATGTTTAAAATTTGAACAGATAAAAAAATAAAATAGATAAAACAAATAAAAAATTGAATAGATAGTTTCAACCAGATAAGTGAAAAAATTAAACTGATAATAAAATTTGAACTGAGAAAAATTGAATAGATATATAGATTTAAACGGATAAATAGAAAAAATTGAGTAGATAATAAAATTTGGATAGATATTTGAACAACTAAAGGAAGAAAATTGAATAGATAGATATAAAATTTGAACAGATAGAAAGAAATTTGAATAGATAGGAAACAAAAGTCAACAGATAAACTAAGGGATAAAATTAAAAACAAAATGTCTTTTAAAACAATTACAAGGATCTCTCACCAAACTATTCACTAATAAAAAAAAAAAAAAAATACACTATACCTAATGCCTTATACACCCTTTAAATTAGATTTATCATCAATTTTCTCTTTTTTTTATACACTCTTTAAATTAGATTTATCATCAATTTTCTCTTTTTAATTTTATCAATTTAATTTATATATATATATATATATATATATATATATTGTCAATTTAAAACCTAAAGAGCACTTGAATTTTAAATAATTGAAGAGTAAGGATAGAAATTCTTAAGGTATCACTTTTAAATTTATTCACACTAATATGGCAAAAGGGTTGGTTTCAATTAGTTGACTTTTTAACAAATCAACAACTGATATGTTATAATTCATGTGATTAGAGATAAATCTAGAATTTATATTTTAGGGGTCTTTATTATTGTTCTAGGTGTAAATTTGAGTTTGTTAGTAAGCACAATTGTTTCATAATATGTTCCATTGATTTTTTACACTCCATCAAAAAATAAAAGGAAAAAAACAATTTCAATACACAAAACTCTTATAATTTTCCGAGGTACTAAAAAAAAGAAAAAAAAATTTACACACAACTCTTATTAAAGTGAGATTTGAGGACAAAATGTACCCAATATTATTTTGGGAAACTTACTGATAAGTCTTATGTACAAAGTTCAAGGCCCAACTAATCCTCAAACAAAATACTTGCACCAATTAGTCCTATGCATTTTTAATTGATCCCAAAAAATCTTTTTTTTTTTTTTTAAATTTACAGACACTGTTACATCTTATTATCGTTGGACTTCCGTCAAACAGTCGCCGGAAACTCGTCGGAATGTTCAACATCACCGGGAAGTCGTCGGAGTATCGCTGGAAAGTCGCTGGAGCTTCGCCGGAAGTTCACCAAAGTGTTAAGAACGTTAATGGAAGTCGCCGAAATGTTCAGAACGTTCACTGGACGTTAAGAACATCACTGGAAACTCACCGAAATGTCTAGAATGTTGCCAGAAAAAAAAAAAAGAATAAATGGAGAAATTAGAGCGAAAAAACATAGTAAAATGTGCTGAATATTGATAAACTACAAGGAAAAAAAATGAAACCACAAAAAACAGTAACAATGGAAAAAACATATGCTATTTTTCAATTTTTGTAAAGTTTAAGCAAATAATCTCCAGTATTAATCAAACTGAAAAATAAGTTTTGAAACTATAAAATGTTACAGTTTCAAAGCAAAAATTTATTAAGCATTTATCCTTATTAATCAAACTGAAAAACATTTTATGAAACTGTAAAATTTTACTGTTCTAAAAAATGTTATGAAACTGTAAAATTTTACAGTTTTATACCATGATTCATTCCAGCACTAAAAAAATTTAAAACTGCAAAATTTTACAGTTTTAAACCATGATTCATTCCAGCACCAAAAAAAACTTGAAACTGCAAAATTTTATAGTTTTCACCGCCTGTAACTAAAACTCAAAAACTACTTGTTTAGAATTTGAAAATTTTCTCCATTAGAATAGAAAAAGAGAAGTGTATAGCAAAGAAAATGTAAAAAAAAAAAAAAGAGATCGAAAGAGAGAGGCGAATAAAGAGAGATGATTATACTCCGGCAACTATTTTTTGTTTAGATCTAGTTGGATTTGATGTAGATCTACTCAGATCTGAGAGTAGATCTGACTCTAAATCTAAGTAGATCTACTCATCTTCTTCATCTTCTTCGTTGGAAACATATCTTCTTTACCGTCGGTGAGGTAAGGAGTCGGCGGTCGGTGGTTGCCGGTGAATCCCAATCGATGGTAGTCGTTGGTCGCCGATGACTATATATCAGAAAGAGAAAGAGAAAGAGAAGAAGCAAGATATGGTTACCCGTCAACGATCGCTGGAAATCACAAAGAGAAGAAGAAGAAAGGCAGAGAAGAAAAATAACGTTATTGGACTTTTGGGTACAAACAAAAAGTTTTGGGACTAAATAGATTACACGTTTTTCAAAGGAGACTTCTTGGTAATTTTCCCTATTATTTTCATTTTTAGATAACTTTCATGACTTGAACTTAAGCCAATATAGTACTAACATTTGGGCCTTTTTTGGGTTGCATGTCAAGGCATACATAACGGGTCCGGACTATCTCCAGTCCAGATCTAGGACAGTCTGGTCCAGTTGGACTCATTTGATCCGCTTTTGGATTTCTTTTAGATAATCTTAACCGTTCACATTTTAGGATTTGTTGAGCATATTATTCCTGTAAAAAATCATGTCGATTGGATAACAGATACTATATATTCGGATCACTTTTGTTTGGAAAAAATAAACGGTCAGAAAATTAATGGTTTATAAAAAAGTGATCCGAATACATAGAATCGTTATCCGATTGACTTGATTTTTTACAAGGATAATGTACCCAACAAATCTTAACATATGAACGGTTCAAATTATTAAAAAAAATTCGAAAAGTGAGTCCAATAAGTCAGATTAAACACTCTAGTCCAGATGGTGGACTAGAGGCAAACCACAGCCAATAAAGAATGCTTCCCTAACTAAACTCAACCCCCACTTATTTTGCAAAAAGAACAATTGAAGAAAAAAAAAAAAAAAACTATTGACATGACATGGTAGATCAAACATCTATTTCTTATGAGTAATGTTAGAGATTTTAAATAATTTATTAAATTTTTTATCAAATCTCTCACATGGGTGTGGGATTCACACAAATCTACATGTGTATGGGTCTCACATGACTTATGTGTGAGGTTTGATAAAAAATTTGATAAATTATTTGGAGTCTATTGCATTTTTTATTTCTGATATATACTTCCAAATATGTTTAATTGGCGGATTTCGAAGAGTTCTCCAATCTATTGAGCATAGTTTTAATTTTTATAATAAAACATCCATTCATTCAAAATAATTATTTCAAAATTTAGTAAAAAAAAGAAAGTAAAATTGAGATTTAATTAATGTTTCATGGGTTCAAAATGAATCTCAACCACTCATTATTTTTGTGGATAAAATTTATAAATTTATAGTATAGTTGTTCTAATAATAATGAGGATTTATGAAAGCAAAGGAATGTCATTTGGAGAGACTGTGACACTCTCATCCACCATGTGTTAGTCATACTCACGCATAGCCACCCTATAAATAGATGGTCCATGACTTGATAGATCAACAATAGTAGACAAGACAAATCTTCAAAGAAGAAATGGTTATAAATTCATGAAAAAATTTATTAATTTCATTATTAAAGCTGATAAAGTTTATTACTGGTTTATAATTTTTTTACAAATGTACTGAAGTGCAATTTTTCTAAAACGTAACCCCATCTTAACATGTGATAGACTAAATTTTATTTGTCACTCATTGCTAAAATATGAATGAAAACTGAGCACGTTTAAGTGTCTAATAGTGAAAAAAAAATTGTATCTTTTACTTTTAAATTTTATTCAAATTTTAGTTTGACTCTCCGCATTCATATTTTAATTAGCACTCCAATTTTAAATGGTGGAATAACAAGCAGATTACAATGAAACCTGTATTGCAATTTAAGGACATAATTATTGTAATTAAAAACTTACGGACCAAAATAAAATTGAGTTGAAAGTTTGAGAATAAAAGGTAATAATTTACCTTATCTATCTATATATTATGTAAGGAAAATGAGGTTTCTAACTCACAAATTTTGTGCGAATTCTATTATTCCAATCTTAATTTTTTAATTTTTCGATTTAAAAAAAAAAACTCAGCATTTATTGATTTTTCTCAACTTATAAGTCTTTTTTATTTCTCTCATACCCACTACCGCACAATTTTCAACTTGTCTTATACATTATGGTTAGTGATGAGATTGTTAAATTATTTTTATAAAAAATCTAAAAAAATAATTTGTATATTAAAATTCTATTTGGTACTAACTAAATAAAATGATTTTAAATTTATTTTTTTTAAATTCGAAATTAAAACTATAGTAAATTTATATAAGCATAATTGCTAACCACATTTTTTTACTTAATGTATAATATTTATATTGACTATATTTTTCAGGTTTTTTTTTTAAAGTATTTATACAGATGTAAAAAAATATCGTTAGGAATAAATTTTTCCTTAATTTAGTTATAAATTTTGCCTGTACATTATTTTTCAATTTTGAATAAAAGCAAATATAAAATAATTGATTGAAGATATGTTACATTTGTTATATTTCTTTTTCCGCATGCAAAAAAAAAATATATATATATATATAAAAATAAAAATCACAATTCACATATATATAAATAATTGTAAACACAATCTATGCATAACACGGGTGGAACACTAGTATTTAATTAAATTTAAAAGGTGCCTCTGAGAGCATCTCCAACGGTGAATCAAATTTTTCATCAAATTTGAGTAAAAAATGACCCATTTTATCAATTTGATACCACTCGCTCCAACGGTGCATTTTCATCAAATTTGTGCCGGAGACAACCGGTTGGTCGACCGGTTAATCGACCGGTTAGGCAAAAAAAAATTTTTTTTTTTTTGTTTTTTTTACTGTTTGAACTTTTTCTTCGAACCGTTTGAACCTTTAGGCGGTCGACCGGTTGGTCTCTCCGAACGGTTAGGAACAGTGATTTGGTAAAATGCTTCGTCTGTTCTCATTTTGGTAAAAGATTTGCTGAATTCTGGATTTGATATCGATTTGGTGAAACCGTTGGAGCTCAAAAAAGTGACTTTTTCATCAAATTTTGAATTTGATACCAGGTTTGATGAACCGTTGGAGATGGTCTGAGAAGGGCACTCCGGTTATATGTTGCAAGCTTCTTCTTCTTTCTTTTTTTTTTTTAAAGCAAGAAAAAAAAATTTGAAAAAAAAAAAAAAACAGCCAATCATAATTTTAAAGGTTAATTACACTAAGACCCCTCAATTATTAGTAAATATCACTATATCACTTTATCTACAAAATTTTTTAAAAAAAATCATACTTAATGGAGTCAATAGGTACGGATTCATAGATGAAGTGGGGTAAAGTAATACTGAGAGGAAGTTTTGATGTAATTAATCCTAACTTTAATTACCCAAAAAAAGCTTATCAAACAAACAGTTGAAAAATTTACATAGGGAACCATCTAAGAGTTTGACAGAGGGAGGGAAGCATGTGAATGATGGGGTCACAGAGTGAGTATTGAAAAGCACAAGTAGCTAAAACCACGACAAAAAGAAATTAATACATTTGTACCGATTATATTATTCAACAAAAGGAACCGAATTTATAGCTGGAAGAAATTTTCTAGTAATGGAAACCAGCTGCCACTGTAGAGAAAAATAAATTTGTTCACACATTTTGAGAGTGTGCCAAAAATATTTGATTTAATTATGTGCTTTAAGTGATATCCAAATTCAATCCAAAACAAAACAAAACAAAAACCAAAAACCAAAAACCAAAAAAAAAGAAGAAAGACCATGATTGTTATCTTATAAGTTTTCAATATTTAAAAATATAAAAACAGAAAACAAAATATAAAAACAAAATACCAAACATGATTTCAAGAGTAAACCCTAACAATTTCTCAGTCAAAGATCTTCATTAGGGAAGGAATAATTAAAAAGTAAAGCATGTTGGTCACTGCAGAATTGAAAGGCAAGTAGTTGTCCGTTGATTGAACTTTGACAACTCCTTTCTGTCCATATTAATTTAATGTTAAATGTAACTGTGACCACAGTCATAAAAGCACATAACAGTGACCGTGTGGTTACAAAAACAAAAGAAAAAGAACACAATGCTAAAAACTCAAAATTCTAATTCAGATTCACTTTATGTAAGTTCTAAATCATAATTTTCTTGTAAAGTTTTCTGGAAAAAGAAAGAGCACATATCTACTACCAGTCACTGCATCTCTACAAATATATATCAACTCAAGAAAAAGTGTAAGTTGTAACACTCAAAGATGGATTTCAGTACATTTTCCATGTCTTAATTCTGTTCAACTATCATTTCTAAACTTAGCCTCATGTCTCAATCAAGTAGGGTTGAAGTAATAATAAACAAATTATCAATAATTTAAACTAGAAAATTGGAAAATGATCTGAATACAGGAGAAAGTATTTAGACAGACCTCATGGCCACTGAGATATGTTCTAACAAAACAAAGCAAGGGCCACAATAAAACCACTGCCAAGATTTCAGCTCTCACATCCATTATTGATGAGTATCAAAAACTTACATAGACAAAAGAAAACCAATAATACAACAATATATACACAAATCATATAAGCAATCAAAAGCACTGGGAAAAATTAGAACAATAAAAAACTGACACTAGTGGTACATATTTTCTAACAAACAATAATAACAAACATCAAGTTCATCATCAGTTGTCCTTACAATCTTTAGTAGGTCTTGCTTCAAGCCCACCACCTGCTCTCTTCTCAAGTGAATAAGGCATATAAGTGCCTAGAATTCTATCCCACGTGACAAAGAATGGCTGTGAAAAGTTGTATTTGCTTCCAAAGAGCTGGTGGTGAATATCATGATAGGCACTATTGTTTCTAAAGAAAATATGAAAGAGGTTACCCGGAAGCCATAGCCCACAATGGTCATCTACGGTTTTGATGGTAGCGAAGGAGAAGAAAAAGATGGAAGTTCGAGGAGACATGCCGGAGAGGAGGAAAGATAGGGCCCCGCCAATTGTGTCAAGAAGAAGACCCTCCAATGGGTGGTTATAGAGAGCTCCAAATGCATATGGGACCACAAGCCGGTGATGTTGAGAATGGATATGACGGTACAAGAACTTGTTATGATGCATGTACCTATGCATGAAATACTGCCAAGTATCTAAAACCACCATTGCAACAGAGAATTGTCTTAATAGAACAAAGGAAGACTGTTGACCTGTGGTAGTCTCACTGTCATTTCCAGTAACCTACACACGAAAAAAGAGTACGTTAGCAATCAAAAAAGCATCTTTCAATCATGCATAAATCAGCAATTAATTTGGGAATGTAAATGCTGAGAAAAGTACAAACATGCAAATTCAGAATGCACCAATATCAATGTCAATGTTTACTAGTAAGTGTTGAAACCTCCTACCATCTATCTATGATTCTATATCTATATAATATATACAAATGTATAGATGGCCAAGTGTTGCACTAAATTTAACAAATTTTTTTTTATTAATTCCACCCAATTTAGGCTCACTTTGCAAACAAGAATTTTTTTTAAAATTTTTATTAATGATTAATGATACTCAATTTAGGCCCACTTAAAAAAACTAATGTACAGTTCCAAAATTGCTCCACAAAGTGTGCTCCTCTTCATGATTAACTCTGCTTTGCAATCCTTCCTAACTTTCTTCCACTCCATGCCTTAATTTTGACGAACCTAATAATTTTTATGAATTTTTTCCCAATTGATTAAAAACAGAATCATACTATATGTTCTATGTTATTCTAATACAAATTCCAGTCCATTTTAACACTCAACGACGTACTCTTTTCTTTCGATATCTAACTTTGTATTTTGTCCACAAATTTCGCTCTGGATAATTTTTTCTCTCTATTTGTCTTCAAGTCCCTGTTCATCCTTGTACAAGAGTATATTTCAAGTTACTTCATTTACTTTTCAAGGATACTTTTACTAGAGTTTAATATTATCATCATTTTTATTGTGCTTTTCTGTGTTTTATTATTTAATTTTCTCCTCACCTATTTGACTAAAAAAATTTGTTAGAAGTGTGTGATATGTAAATGTTGTCATAATATGAGATGTCATTCTCTCATAAATGTAACAGTACAGATTAGAATGGAATCATAAAACGTGTTGCTAATCCAAAAGTGGTTAAAAGTTAAAACTTCATCTCAAGAATATGATTATTGCAATATCTGTTAGAACATAGCTTATTGTGCATAAGAAGTGGCATTATAAAGTTGACTGAGAGATGGATTACTTGACTTAAGCTAGTTGATTATATAAAACATAATGATGCTGTATAATATACCCCATACTGGTATAAATGAGTAGTAACGGTTATGTAGTAATGTCCAGTTAATTGACTAATCCCAATAGTGAGATCTGGTCCAGCATCTTGAACATGAAGAAGTTGTCATGGACTAGGCCTTGGCCTTGCTGGGACCTACAAAATGTATCAATAGAATAGTGATAGACGGATGCAGTTTTGGTGATTTATTTTGTTATTTTAAGCCTTTGTACATCGGGATCTTAAGATGATGTCAAAATGTCTCTACCCTAAAATTTGGTGACAGACAACCAGGTATTAAAACATTAGCTCCATTACTGAGTTGCAAATGGTTATTTTGCTGTTTTCGGGGCTCATTTCTTCACATACAATTTGACATTGCATTTAATTTGAGTGCTGCTGTTATTTGCAAATAGTACTTGGGTCAGCTACTATAAAAACTTATTCAAGCCAGAGCTTTACAATTGATGATATGGAAGAAGAAAAAGTGATTTCATTCACAGAAACCTTTATAGGCCTCAACTGTCAATATCTATTCCCAAGTCTATGCCTAATCATTCAAACAAATCCCTTTTCTCTCTACATGTATATAGTATATACACATTACATGCATATGTTATGTACAGACAATTACTGCACTGGCCTTTACCCTTTTGACTGCATTTAATAAAATTTTGTACGCTAATTTTACTATGTCTTTCAGATTGTGTTGTAGTCTGTTTTATGACAAATGTACATACTCTGATTATAATTTACATTCGTGCATAAGTCAGGTACTTTATATTGCAATTTCTTACAAGTATCACATGCAACACATGCATTAATGCTGGTTAAACTTACTGAAAACCAAGGCTAGTTAACAAAGATATTAGAACAACAATCATGTTTTACAAGGACTGATTAAAATTAAGCAGATAAACGCAAGTATACAAGAAGAAATAGATAGAACTTGATCAAATGAACATGAACATTATTTTAAAATAAAAATCAACATGAATTTCCCAAAAAATTTTAATCCAGCACACAAATTACAGCAGTGGCCTAGCCCTCTATTTGACTCCTCTGTGTAATTTAAGCTCCTATAGGAGGCCAGCACAAATGCTGTCAGAAAAATGGAGAGAGAGAGAGCTTGATGAAAAAAACTAGCAAATAAAATAGAAATCTGATTCATTTATTCCACATTCAAAATATTAGCAAAAAAAAAAGATAAACTATCAATAGGTCAATAGTTGAACTTAATTTCCATCAAGTTCTATTGAAAATAAGTTATAGTAAATTCGTTAAAAATAATTTTTTGTGACGATTTTTTGCATATGTTACTGAAAATTAACAATTAATGACTTTTTTTTTGTCACGATTTTTATAAATTTTCACTAAAACTTATAATAAGTGACTTTTTCTGCAATAAATTTTTTAAACTATCGTTGAAAGTTGACAATTAGTGACTTTTTTTGTATGATGATTTTTTTAAACTGTCGTTAAAACTTATAATTAGTAACATTTTTTTGTAACAATTTTCAAACTGCCACTAAAAAAAACAATTAGTGACTTTTTTTAAGTGTTTGATGAAAAATATCATTAATTATTATTGAACAATTTCTTTGCAAATGGCTTCTAATTGACACCAGCCCTTATCATTGAAAATAAGTCATAGTAAATTCTTTAAAAATAATTTTTTGCATATGTTGCTGAAAATTAACAATTAATGTTTGTCACGATTTTTATAAATTTTCACTAAAACTTATAATTAGTGACTTTTTCTGCGATAAATTTTTTAAGCTATCGTTGAAAGTTGACAATTAGTGAGACTTTTTGTATGATGATTTTTTTAAACTGTCGTCAAAACTATAATTAGTGACATTTTTTTATAACAATTTTCAAACTGCCACTAAAAATTAACAATTAGTGACGTTTTTTTAATAGTGTTTGATGAAAAATATCATTAATTATTATTGAACAATTTCTTTGCAAATGGCTTCTAATTGACACCAGCCCTTATCAATTCTTCATGAAGAAGATATATTTAATGTTTAGAAATAGAGTTTGGCCATAGGCCTCCTAACAAAGGTTCCATGTAATTAACAATTTCATGATATACACACAATTAAATTGAAGTATTACTCCCACAATTTAAAAATTCCAATCCTTTATAAATAGATAAATACAATACTAGAAGAAGAAGAAGAAGAAAAAGAAGAAGAAGAAGCAATCTTTGTTGTTCCCTTTTTAACGAACAATCTTTGTTGTTCCCTTTAAATAAATATGTGAACCCAATAATTCTTAAGTTGTTAACCAGAATGCAGGTATAAACAAGAAAATTGCATCAAAAAAGAATAAAGCAAATAGCAGCTTTTTGGTGGGCTAAATTCTTCTTTTTTAATTCAAGTAAACTGCTAACGTGGACTAGGAGCCACAGCATATAACTAAATTTGCCCATGACCCAACCTCAATAAAGTGTGCTATATTTATTTAAATTTAAATTCATAGGAATAATGTGACTGTACAACACAAGTACTTCACCACTTTGTCTATTCTACTTTAGTTCCACTAGAACACCTGTTCCATCTCACATCATATGATAAACAATCCAAGATAATAAAGATAAACCTAAGCATCCTACATCTGAAGCCTAAAAGTAAATCTTCAATGACCTAGTTTAACTCTTTTCTTTAGTTTGCTATATGGCCAGTTAACATGACCAAACCATCTTAGCTTGTTTTATTGGAGCTACTTTGACCATTTCATAAATAAATTCCTATCTAAGTCTAATTTTCGTAGTCTTACCACACATCCATCGACACATCATCATCATCCCAACATTTCGTCCCCTAAAACGTCATTGTTGGTCTCATAGTTGTTCTAAAAAATTTCCCATTCAATTTTGTTGGTTTTGTCAATCACATAATATACCAAAAGCACTTCTCCACTTGAACCAACGTCCTTTGATTCTATAAATAACATCATCTCCAATTTCTCCATCATTATCAACTTTCGAACCTAAATAACGAAAATGTTCATCTTTTGTTATCTCCTTATTTTCAACACTTCTTCATTATTTTCACTTCTATTGTTACTAAAATATTCCATTTTAGTTCCACTAATTTTAAACTATTTTGACTCAAATACATTTACCCAGATTTCGGCCTCGTTTGGAAGCATCCTATTTTAGTAATTTTTTGACATTTTACGAAAAAAATGAGCAGAACAGGAAAGAGAGTGATATGACAACTTATAGCAACTTTTTGACTTTTTAGCTAAAATGTATAGTTGACAAATGAGGCCAGTGCTAATTCATCTCTTAGTTGTTATCCTCTACAATAATATCATGACGAAACAACATACACCATGGATATAAAAAACAAGTATGTAATGAACCCTTAATTCTTCAACAACAATCATAAATCAATCACCAAAGGAGTAACACTCTGTTTGGAGAAAAGAAAAGAAATTATTGTAGTTTCTCACTATCATGTTTGAATGAGTAAAATAACAACTTATGTGAGAGAGGGATATGAGTGGGAATTCTTTTTCTTCCTTTGCATTTTAAAGGACAATATTAGTATTATAAATATTTTACAACCAATCAACTTGTTTCTCACCAAATCTCACCACTTTGGGTGAGAAATGAAATACTTACCAAAAGGGAGTTCTCTTTTCACACTATTTCTTCACCATTTCTCACCCAACTTAGAGCATCTCTAACGGTTCACCAAAATTTTCATCAAATCTGAGTAAAAAAGTGACTTTTTTCTCATTCTAATACGGAGGGCTCCAATGGTTTATCAAATCAAATTTTCATCAAATCTGCGCCGGGACAACCGGTTGGTCGACCGGTGAAGGCAAATTTTTTTTTTGAATTGTTCGAACCTTTTCAGTGAACTGTTTGAACCTTTTTCCGGGACGACCGGTTGGTTGACCGGTAAGGCAAAATATTTTTTTTTATTTTTTTTTAACTGTTTGAACTTTTTTTTGAACTGTTTGAACCATTTAGTGGTCGACCGGTTGGTCAACCGGCCGATCAATAGGCTGGTCGACCGGTTGGTCTCCGCCAACGGTCAAAAACAGTGATTTGGTGAAATGCTGCGCCAGTTCTCATTTTGGTGAAAGGTTTGGTGAATTTTCGATTTCATATCGATTTGGTGAAACGGTTGGAGCTCAAAAAAGTAGTTTTTTCACCAAATTTTAAATTTGATGCCAGGTTTGGTGAAGCCTTGGAGATGGTCTTATAAACCAAACATGAGAAAGGAGTTGTCTTTCTCACCATTTCTTATAATTTCTCACCAAATCATTCCATCCAAACAGAAAAGCATGCAATATAATAAGGCAATAATGAAGAAATCACATGGAAAACAAATATTTTCAAGATACAACAGTATAAATTAGGTACCGTGAACAATAGGATTGCAACCACGGCCTGAACGAACTGTTGGAGAAGAACACCTTTGACCACCGTCCATTTCGACACCAAATTCTTGTCATCTTCCTCCTTCTTCGAATGCAATCGATAATTCTCGAAAGATCCCAGCAGTATATAGATTCCAGAATACACCCAATACACCAAAATTGGGGCAAAAGTCCCCAATAACTCATCCGATACACCAAACTCCATAGCCAAGAAATGAATACTCAGTCTCTACAACGACTATATATAAGAAAAACAGGGACGCAGAGAGAAAAATCAAAGCTTTGGTTTTGAGTGGGGAATTTTCAAAAACAGGGTGACAAATTCCCCAAATTGAAATTGAAAAACCCTAACCCTGAAACTTTGATTAACCAATCTGGTCTCTGTTCTTCAATACATACAAGAAGAAGAAGAAGAAGATATTCTTATAGCTTTCGTTGTCTTAGGGTTGGGGATTTTTGTTTTTTTTTTTAAGATATTGAAAAATAGAAGTTTCTGATGAAAACCGTGGGGGAAGAGGGATTTGATTGGGTGTCTGTGTGTGACGACGTGAGATTTGATGAATTGTCAACAATCAATATTGACCGTTGATGTTAGTTATAATAAGATGAGGGTGGCTTTAGTAGAAAGTGAAGGAAGGGGGTCAATGAATGTTCGGGTGGGCCCCTCTTGATCGTGATTGGAGAACGCCGGGCTTGACCGACTCTTTCAGATTAGCTTTGAATTATTAAAAAACAATGTGCTGTATATGAAACAAGCAATACTTTATGAGTAATAATCATGGCGTGAGTGTTTTTTTTTTTTTTTTTTTTTTTTTTGTGTGTAATTGTTTTAGCTTGGAGTTAAAAAAATTAATTTGGAATAATTTTTTGATTTTTTAACTTTTGTGAGAAAAAAAAAAAAATGATTATGATTTGGATGTGATGTTTTGTCTTCTTGAATTAAAAAACTTATTTTATCTTTCAGAACTGCTATGTAGCCCGAATTTTACCCGGCTCGAATGGCCCGAATGAGTTGGCAAGTGGTTCTCTCCTCTTTCGCCCAATCACACATCTAAATTTACCGACCACGCGTTTGATTTCCAAAACAGTGGCGAAGCAAGAATGAAGAGAAAATACCAGAGACGAAGCGGAAGTAGAGAGAGAGGACGACATAACTGTAGCTCGTGACCTACTGGCCAACGACGATCGACTTGGGTCACCATCGACGACCACAAAAACTATCACTTTGCCGCCGCTAACCACCAACCTGTTCGTCAATGGCATTGCGCCTGTGTGTGTGTTCAACTCATAGGTATGTGTGTCTTTAATTTCAACTCTTCCTTTCCTCTTGTGTAATATGTATATATATGTATATATATGCCTATGATTTCATCGAATGTAAGTCCCTGGATTTTGTGCTCGTAAGGTGTTCGATGATTTGCTTGTGTTGAAATAGGGGAATAATGATATGAAATTTGTGGTAGAAATCTTGAAACAAATAGAAATTTTGTAAGAGAAATTTTTAGCTCGAATTTAGAGTTTGAAACAAATGAAGATGGAGTGTAATAGCAGAACCTCATATTTGGGTAGTTGGTTGCTTCAAGCATTATTAAATAGCAGAACCTCATTTTTGAAATTGCATCTGATGTAATTTTTCCCACAAATTTCAAAACCTCATATTTGCTTTCCTATATTATAAGTTTATTATGATGTAATTTTTATGTTTTATTGTTATAATTAAATTTCAGGGCTATTCTATTCAATTGTGGGCATATATCTGTTTAATTTCAGAACCTCATTCTGATCTTGTAATTAAATTTCAGAACCTCATTCTGTTTAATTTTATTCTTATAAACTGCATCTAAATGAAGTCTTTTGTTCAATGGCGGGCATATATCTCTGTATCCAAATGAATTCCTATGTATCCATTTTCAACCACAACTCATTTTTTTTTTTTACTTGAGAATACTATGAAAAAGTTGGGCAATGAAACAATGATAACCAAAACTACATACAAGTTGTTATTTTAAAGTGTGTTCTTTGTGAATATATATTTCAGTTTAAGGTACAATGGACATTGATTCAAACAATACTTCATTCAATGGGATTGACGAAGTTGAAGAACCGGAGAACAATATTTCATTAAATGAGAGTGGTGAACTTGAAGAACCAAAGAAGGGTATGCATTTTACCTCAAAACAAGAAGTGTTTATGCTAAATATGCAAAACACCTTGGATTTGCTATAGCTTATAGAACACAGAATATTGGAGATGAAAGGGAGGTAAAATACTTTGGAATTGAATGTACTCAGGGCGGAAGAGAACAAAAAGATCAGAAGTAAATCCCCTGGAACCATCTTTGTCATAAAAATTTGAATATAAAGTAAGGGTAAGAACCAGTCTATAAAAGGATGAAAGATATAAGTTAACAATAGTTGTGCTTGAGCATACTCATGACTTGATTCCTAGTGACTCACGGCATTTTACAATGAATAATCAAGGCATTTTGCAATGAATAAGAGGGTTCTTACTCCTGTGAAGAAGAGACTAGAAATAAATAATGCAGTAGGGATATGGGTGGCTATGAATTTTCAGTCTATAGTTATTGAAGCGGGGGGATATGACACATTAACATTTGATGAACGAGATGCAAGAAATCACATTGAGAATGCTAGAAAATTGAGACTTAGGGTAGGAGATGCTGATTCGCTTACACTTTATTTTCATAACATGTAACAAAAAAATTCGAACTTCTATTCTACAATAGACTTAGATGAAGATGGTCGCATACGAAACTTGTTCTGGGCGAATGCAAGGAGTAGGGCGGCTTATAAAGCATTTGGGGATGTTGTCTCATTTGACACAACCTATTTGACAAACAAATATGACATGCCGTTTGCTCCATTTGTAGGAGTTAATCACCATGGACAATCAATTTTGTTTGGTTGTGGGCTGTTATGTAATGAGAACACAGTGACATTTGTTTGGCTATTTAGAGAATAGTTAAGTTGCATGTTAGATGCTCACCCAAAAGCCATAATAACTGACCAGTGCAGAGCTATGCAAAATGCCATAAAAATTGTATTCCCACAGTCTCGACATCGATGGTGCTTATGGCATATAATGAGTAAGATTCCGGAGAAATTGAAAGGATATTCCCAATATGAATCTATAAAGTCCGCTTTGCAAAATGCAGTTTATGATTGTTTGACAAAAATTGAATTTGATAAAGAATGGCAAGCAATGCTTGCAAAGTTCAGTCTTTATGATAATGAATGGTTGAGGGTATTATGTGATCAGCGACATAGGTGGATTCCTGCCTATGTGAAAGACATTTTTTGGGCTGACATGTCAACTACACAGCGAAGTGAGAGCATGAATGCATTTTTTGATGGATATATGAACTCGAAGACGAATCTGAAGCAATTTGTTGAGCAGTATGACAATGCCTTGAGAAGTAAAGTGGAGAAGGAGACCAAAGCAGACTTCAAATCTTGTAACAAATTGTATGATTGCTTGACGGTGTACCTTTTTGAGAAGCAATTTCGTGAAGCCTACACAAATGCAAAATTTGAAGAGGTTCAAGCAGAATTGAAGCGTCTACTATACTGTCATGTGACTCTTGTGAAAGAGGAGGGATTAATTTATACCTATCATGTGAAGGAGACTATTTTGATCGGTGAGAAGATGAAAAATGTGGAATTTGTTGTCTACTGCAATTCAACTGAATGTGAGATCCAATGTATATGTCGGTGGTTTGAGTTTAGGGGCATTATGTGTGTCCATTCATTTGGTATGCTCATTGAGAGGTCCATCTACGAGGTTCCAAATAAATACATTGTGGAGAGATGAAACAAAGATTTGGAACGAGGGTATACATGCATTCCAACCACAAATACTAACTCTGGGGCTGCTGTGAATGCAAAGTTGCATGATACGTATCACAAGATGTCACGACCCAATCCCAGTGGCTTAGGGTTGGAATTGCAACTTACTAACTTTTTCTATTTGTAGCAAATTAAACCACGCAAGTGGAAATAAAAATAATTGAACAAGAATTTACTTTATTTTACTATTTTAATAAGAGAAATACATTTATAGGGCTTTTATTATTTTATTATTCAGTGACTGGCTCCGAGTAGAACAAAAGGGAGCAAAAATATAAAGAGAAGAAGGAAAAAGTGGTTCAATATCAATCCACGTGCGGGTTCCATTTCGTGAGGTTATGAGTTTTCCCTTACATCTCGTCACCTGAAATGGTAACAGCTATAAGCACACAACAGAGCGAGAAATATTATGCTAAGAGTATAGGGAATACAAAATAACCATGGATAGTTAGTTAAGCCAAAACATTTACATAACTCAATTTGGTAAATAAATCGTTTAAGTGGCAGAAACTGAAATACAGAAATTATGAAAATAAATAACCACAACCACGGTATAGAACAGAATAAAATAGAGGTCACAGAAGTGACAATCAGAACAGAGGTCAATGGATCCATGACAAACAGAGGACCACAAGTGGTCAAACAGAGGCCAATGGTTATTTAAATCCTCCAAGGCGTGGGACTCCCGTGGTGGTACTTACAAAACATAATTATTTATAAGGTCATAGTCAAATATATACTAAATTTAAACAAACATATCCATGTGTTTCATTTTAAACAAATAGAGTTCAGAAAATAATCCACGTAATTGAAATATTGATAAAACATAACTTTTATTAGTATAACTAATAAAATACAACTTGTATAAAATAGATTACGGTAAGTCAAAACATACGTAAAATATAGTATGGTAACTCAAAGGTATAATATAACTCACTTTAAGATTGAGTCTTACTAATTCCTTTATATTTTTGTTGGTTTTCGGCTCCTCCCTTTCTCTTGATCTCCTTTGTCTCTTTTTTTTTTTTTTTCCTTCTTTATTTCTCCGTTCACTTACAGCACCTCCCCCCTATTTATACACATACTTCAAATGATAACTCAACTTTATCCTAAGGCCCCAAGGTGATGACTCACTCCTCCTCCCTAAGCCTAGGTGTCCAGATGGCCCCTCAATTTCTTTATTTCAGCAGATTTGTAATCTTGAAAATTAATGGTACTTGATTTGCTTTTATTTGATAAATCTAGGCAGCTAATATATCCCAAATAAATCTGGTACTTAATTTACCCTAATAAATTTCCTCATCATATATTTGATAACCCTAATGACAAATTAATTTACATAGCACATATAACTTATTTATTTTATTACTGCCATTATTATTATTCTTATTCCATATATTTATTTTATCATTATTGTTATTATTATTTATTTATTTAACCTATTTATTTATTTACTATCTTTAACTTTAATTTGGTCCAACTAGTATTATAATTTTATATTTCTATTAACTTGGCCCCGAATAATAGTCCCTAATTAATCTCATATTTGGTAACCCAATGCCAATTAGATTCTGTATTTATTATTCTTTATTTAATGATATATTATCACA